TTTTTTTTTCTTTGTTTTCTTTTTTTTTTTTTTTTTTTTTTTGAGGTAGTCCCACTCTGTTGCCCAGGCTAGAGTGCAGTGGCATCATCACGGCTCACTGCAACCTTAACAGAGCTCCCTCTTGGGCTCAAGTGATCCTCTTGCTTCAGCCTCCAAAGTAGCTGAGACTCTAGGTACCATCATAACTCTCGGGTAATTTTTCTGTTTTCAGTACAGACAGAGTCTCAATCTTGCTTAAGCTAATTTCACACTCTTGAGTTCAAGCTGTCCTCCAGCCTCGGCCTCCTAGAGTGCTAAGATTACCAGCATGAGCCATATCACGCAGTCTGAAGATGAAAATGAAAATGATAATTTTAGATAACAACTGAAAGGGTAGATAACCTAAAAGTGAGGAAAGCATAGCCTTTTCAGTCAAATGGGCTTGATTTGAATTATATCTTCACCACCTAATAATTGTATTTTTATAGGCAGATTATCTGACTCTCTGAGTCTTAATTTTCTTATATGTAAAAATGAATATATGGCATGTTGTGGAGTGTGGGAGGCATATCAGTACTTATTGAAGAGGTGTTACAAGGAAAATAGAGCATCTAGTATGGGGAGTCTGGCATATACTACATGCTGCATGCTCAATAAAGTTGTGCTATCTGTAAATAGTTGTTGTTTAGTGAAAAGTTCTGAGTCTATCTTATATTCCAGAAAAAAATCATGCAGTTGTATTCTCTTTAGCAGTGGGAAACAGTATTAGTACACCTGCCATAGAGTAGTATACTTGTATCATAACTAGTAGTAATCAGTAATCATGAAGAACCTGAAATTCACCCGGCAGTAAGTTGAGTCTAAGATAACTACAAAGTTGAATGAGACAAAATGTTTCCTGGGAGTTTATGATAAGACAGTTTCATGAAAAATTATTTTTTAAAGATCAAGACAGCTGAAAAGAATAAAGATATATTTCGTAAATCAATAAGGAAAGAAATAATGCTTACTTGCATGTAAAAAAGGAAAGTTTATAAAGTGAACAGAGCTAGACTCAAGTAAGACTTCAGGAGTGCTGGAAAAACACTTTTCCACCAAATTTCCTCTTTCTTTCCCCTGCAACTAAATTCTAAAATTCTTTTTTTTTTTTTTTTTGGGCAGAGCCTCATTATGTCACCCTTGGTAGAGTGCTGTGGCATCACAGCTCACAGCAACCTCAAACTCTTGGGCTTCAGCAATTCTCTTGCCTCAGCCTTCCAAGTAGCTGGGATTACAGGCGCCCGCCACAGCGTCCAGCTATTTTTTGGTTGTAGTTGTCATTGTTGTTTGGCAGGCCCGGGCTGGGTTTGAACCCACCAAATACAGTGTATGTGGCTGGCGCCCTGGGTGCCCAGCCATAAAATTCTTATTTCTTTTATATGGCATGAATTTAAATATTTGGCTACAATATAAATAATCTTTGGGAATGGGGCATATCGGAATATTGTTAATCATTATGGTATTGTTCAATGCATTTATCATTCTTTCATGGGAATATGAAAAGAAAAGAGAAAGCGTGTACAAATACTGGGACACCTGCCAGGAATAAGAGCTCACTCTGAAAGGGAAAAGACGATCTTGGCCCACTCCACCCTTTGCACTGGGCTTCCATAGAACAGGAATAATTGAATCTAAATGTTTTTCAGAAAACAAAAAGTTGAATTCAGAGTAACTTAGAGATAGTTTCAATAGAGAGTTGTGAGGTGACTATTTACATTTGGAAGAATTTCTTTTCCTTCTGTTTATAAATTTACTTTGTTAGAAAACAAAAGAAAGTCATTTGAAGCCAGGATTCAGATGTCTCTAGAGCTGTAGCTTTCAAATATTTTAACCATGACCTGCAGTAGGAAATAACATTTTACACTGGGACATGTACCAAACACATCATGCACACACACACACAGGTACTTACACAATTGAACCAAAGTCTCACGAGGCTTGACTTCCTTGCGCTATACTCTGATATTTTATATTCTGTTCTGATTTTGTCTAATTTATTTTATGCTTTTTAAAAATTCTGATCATGATCCACTAAATGTATTTCATGACCATGACCTGAAACAACGTTTTTGTTGGCCAACTATGTGGGATGTTGACTACCTGCGACTAAGAACCACTCCTAGATAAGGCCTGGTATTGCCAGGCCCTTTCCTCTTGGTACAACCGATAAGACATCTCTGAAACCTGCAACCCCAAGTCCCCACCCTCTCTCTTTTTGCCAGAGTTATGATTTTTAATATATTATTCAGTTTGATGTATGTTGTTCTTTAAACATTTGTCTTTTCCTTGTGACCTTCATGGCAATTTACCCCTTAAATGATAGACTTTTAGGACAGATTACGTATACCTTAATAACCCAAAGGTGGTTTGCTCCTAATTGGACCTAAGTTTTTGCAAATGACTTCTTGCTTACCATTCCAGGATAAGAGAAAATATAGGTTTCATTTGTTTATTGGTTAAGGGAACAAAAAGACCAGGAAATTTGTTGGGTTATTTTGTTTTCTCAGGATACCTACAAAGTGAAAAAAAAAGGTATCTTGGTTTCCATTCAGCATATTGGAATGAAACAGAGGGAATTAACAACTCTCCAATCTCAGGTTGTGAAGTAGCACTGGGTGTGGGTTGAGAGGAGCACTGTATTCATAGAAACTAGGAAATTTGAGAGGAAGAAGCTTAAAGGGCAGGCTCGGTGCCTGTGGCTCAAGTGTCTAAGGCACCAGCCAAATACACCTAAGGTGGCAGGTTCAAATCCAGCCCAGACCCGCCAAAAACAACAATGATGGCTGCAACCAAAAAGTAGCCTGGTGTTGTGGTGGGTCCCTGTGGTCTCAGCTACTTGGGAGGCTGAGACAGGAGACTCGCTTGAGCCCAGGAGTTGGAGGTTGCTGTGAGCTGTGATGCCATGGCACTCTACCCAGTGGGATAGCTTGAGGCTCTGTCTCAAAAAAAAAAAAAAAAAAGAAGCTTTTAAAGGGCAAGGGCTGGAGGACATGTATAAGTGAGCTCTGTTTTCTTCCACACCTGTAAGGAAAAATTCTAGTCTCCAGTTAAAATAATGACATGAGAAAAGTGAAATGAATACTCTGAAACATGTTGCTTTTACAACAGCAGACATGCATCATAAAGATACTCATTGCTGGCTTGGTGCCCGTAGCACAGTGGTTATGGCACCAGCTACATACACCAAGGGTGGCGGGTTCAAACCCAGCCTGGGCCAGCTAAGCAACAATGACAACTGCAACAGAAAAATAGCCCGGTGTTGTGGCGGATGCC